GAGAGGTGGAGGGGGGGGAAGGAGGAGGGGAGATGGGGAGAAGGAAGGAAAAAAAGGAGGGGGAATAGGTGGAAGATGAGGAGGAAAAGAAGGTGGAAGAGGAGAGAAGAAGTGGGAGTAGGAGGTGGAGGAAGAGAAGAAAGAAGAGAAAATTGAGAAAAAGGGAGAGTAGGAGAGGTGATGAAAGAGGGGGAAGAGGAGGAGATTATGGAAAAAAAGGATCGAAGAAAAGAACGAAGAGGAATAGAGGAAGAAGGATAAGGAAGAAAGGGCCCACGGAATGAAGAGGGGAAATGAAAAGGGAGAGAGGGAAGGAACGAAAACGGGATTAGGAGAATGGAAAAGAGAGGGGAAATGTTCGGTGAGAAACAGACGAAGAGAAGAGTCAAAAGTAATCAGGAGAGACGATTAAACGAAAACTGAAAACGAGAGAAAAAAGATAGTTAGCATACAATACATGCATACAGATAGACAGACAGACAGACAGAAAGACAAATAGATAAGTAGACAGACAAATAGAGCCAAAAAGAAATAGAAAGAGGGAGAAATAGAAAGAAAAAGAAACCTAACGAAATGGCCCAAAATCTCGAAGATAGAAAGTGGCGAGGCATCCCCCCCCCCCGCGCCCCAAAGAGAGAGAGAGAAAGAGAGAGAGATAGATAGATAGATAGATAGATAGATATAATAGAGAGAGAGAGAGAGAGAGAGAGAGAGAGAGAGAGAGAGAGAGAGAGAGAGAGAAAGAGAGAGCGAGAGACAGAGACAGACAGACAGACAGACAGACAGACAGAGACGGCAAATAGCAGGTACGTATGCGAGAGGCAGCAGGGACAGCACTGAGGCCAGGGCAGGGAAGAGGACTCAAAGCCACACTGAAGCTCTCAGGTATTCTGACCAGCGGCCGTCAACCATCTGTAGTCAAAACACCGTAATTTTGACGGATTCCAGGCCTGCGTTTGACACATGATGCATCAACTTGGCCCGCCTTTGATCTCTTAAATTCTCGGGTAATGTGAGTGCTTCTCTTTCCTTGTGCCGCTTCTGCTTTTTCTTTTTCTTCTTCTCTTCTTTTTTTTTCTTCTATTTTCTTCTTTCTTCTTTCTTCTGCTTTTTTTTCTTTCTTCTTCTTTTTCTTCCCCTCCTCCTATTTCTTCTTAGTATTCTTCTCCTCCTTCTCGTTCTTCTTCTTCTTGTTCTTCTTCGCTCTTTTCCTTTTCTTCTTTTTTCTTCTTCTTCTTCTTCTGCTTTTTCTTCTTTCTTTTTCTTCTTCTTCTTCTTCTTCCCCTCCTCCTACTTCTTCTTGGTATTCTTCCCCTCCTTCTCGTTCTTCTTCTTCTTTTTCTTATTCGTTCTTGTCTTTTTCTTCTTCTTCCTCTTCTTTCTTCTTTCTCCTTCTTCTTTTCCATCATCTCCTCCTCCTCCTTCTTCTTCTTCTTTTAGGGGAGGGGGAGGGAAGAGGGTGTTCTTATCTCTTAGTCAACTTTATTTATGGAAGAAAGATACGCGGAAGAAAGTAGAAAAATAAAAGGGGGAGGGAAAAGGACCGAAAGTTCTTCTTTGCTTTCTCTGTCGGCCCTATTCTCTCTCTCTCTCTCTCTCTCTCTCTCTCTCTCTTCCTCTCTCTCTCTCTCTCTCTCTCTCTCTCTCTCTCTCTCTCTCTCTCTCTCTCTCTCTCTCTGCTCTCTCTTCTCTCTCTCTCTCTCTCTCTCCTCTCTCTCTCTCTCTCTCTCTCTCTCTCTCTCTCTCTCTCTCTCTCTCTCTCTCTCCTCTCTCTCTTCTTTACATGATGATAATGAGAAATAATATTATTCATTATATTAGTAATGAAAATAATGATACTAATGATAACGATAATACTAATGATAATGGTAATAATGATGATAATAATATTAATAATGATGGTAATAGCAGTAACAATAATAATAAAATGATAATGATGATAATGGTAATAAAAGTGATAATGATAATGATAATGATCATTACAATATTGATAGTAACCATGATAATTATAATGATAATGCTAACTATAATCATGATGATAATAATGATGATAACAATATGACGATAATGATAATGATAATAGTAATAATAATGATAATAACAATACCAATAATGATGATAACAATAGTAATAACAATTATAATATTGATAATGGTAATACTACTACTACTAATAATGATAATGATAAAAAAAATAATAATAACAATGATAATAATGATAATAGTGATAATAATAATAACAACAACAACAACGGCAATAATAATAATAATAATGATAATAATAATAATAATAATAATAATAATAATAATAATAATAATAATAATAATAATAATAATAATAATAATAATAATAATAATAATAATAGTATCAATAACAATAGTAATAATAATAGTAATAATAATAAAGAAAAAATAACAATGTTAATAAATAATAAATAATATAATAATAATAATAATAATAATAATAATAATGAATATATAACAATAATTATAATAATAATAATAATAATAATAATAATAATAATAAAATAAATAATAAATA